TGTTCAAATTTTTCACTATAAAAATGTTACAATCAGGAAAACTTGTCTTTTCAAAGATTAAAACACTGAAAATTTGAGCAGTGTATATTGCAAAAATTCCAGTCAATACTTATATAAAAAACATGTGTCAGGTATATATATTTGTATGTCTATAATTAATAGTTCACTTAAAAGTAAACTTTTAAGATTTAATCCCAAGTTAAGCAATTTAGACGTTCACACCTTACTATATAGAAATTCAGCTAATTTAAAACAAATGTTTAATTAAAAGTATAAATTATTCAGCACATATCAAATTCTATAAATGGTTGGTTAATCCAAGAATTTCTTCAAAGTGAAAAGCAGTAAAAGGGTCATTTAAAAGCTTTTATCTGTAATGACAAATACATAACTATTTGATCCTTTTCACTTAGAATTTTTTATCTTTAAACTCACAACAGAAGAAATATATTAAAATTTTCTTATGGGGAAACGGAAGTGGCATCTCAAAGCAGTGAGCCAGAAAATGGACTAACAGTGTTGGGTCAACTAAGTGGCTATCTGGAAAAAGAAAGTTGGATCTAATTTTTCCAACCAGAATACAGTTAAGTTGGCTCAAAGATTTAAGTGTATAAAATACAGCCATAAAAATACCAGAAGAAACCATGGGAAAGATCTCTATCACCTCAGAATAAGGAAGGCCTTTTCAAATTAATTCAACAAATACACCTTTGATAGAAGAAATGTGGAATGTAAGTGTAGTTTTAATTTGCATTTCTCTTATAGGTGAGTTTGCACATATTTCATGTACAGTTGACCCAGGAATAATGTCAGGGGTTAGGGGCACTGACCCCTCACCAAGTGCAGTCAAAATCAGCATGTAACTTTTGACTCCCCTAAAACTTAACTAACAGACTACTGTTGGTTGGCAGGAAGCCTTACTGATAACATAAAAAGTTAACATTTTTTATATGTTGTATGTATTATTTCTAAAAGATCGATAAATTTGACAACTACATACAAATAATGTCCAAGACTACAACCACCAAAAGAAAAATAGGGAAAAAAATACAACATGTTATTTGAAGGAAGGGACTAGTTTTTATAATATGCAAAGTCAGTACATATCAGAAAAATGCTAATATCCAAAATTAGCCTATAGACAAAAAAATTTTTAAAGTACAGATAGTTCACTGAAAAGGAAATATAAAGTTTTCTGGAGATTTGTGATGATTTAGAAAAACTTATTCTAGCTTACCTTAAGAAAACAGTATAATACATACAACATATAAAACATGTTAACTTTTTGTTATCAGTAAGGCTTCCTGTCAACAGTAGTCTCTTAGTTAAGTTTTAGGGGAGTCAAAAGTTAGATGCTGATTTTTGACAGCACTTGGTGGGGGGTCAGTCCCCCTAACCCCCAACATTATTCAAGAGTCAACTGTACATGAAATAAGTGCAAACTCACCTATAAGAGAAATGCAAATTAAAACTACACTTACATTCCACATTTATTCTATCAAAGGTGCAACGAAACCTTGACAACACACTGCGTAGCCATAAAGAAAATAGATGATCTCATATATTACTGGTGGGAGTGTGAATTGATCATTCTTCTAGAGAGCAATGTGGCAAAATTACTCTTTGACTCAGTTATTCTATTTCTATACATTTTATAGGTAACTTGATATGTAAAAGTAATGTATTCCATACTGTAATAAAAAAAGACAAAATAACCTAAACATCCACACCCCTACATCTAGATGATGGTAAATTTCTGCCATAATTTATGCCCACCATATGTCATAATTCCATTACTTTTAGGTGTTTCTCCCAATTATTGCAGCCCCATATTAAATTATGTTTGCATAGATGATTTTCATTTCCGTTAGCAAAAATCCTTGTAAGTTCAGAGAAGTAGATAGGGGGTCCTATTTATCATTTTATCTCCAAAATCAAATATCTAATCACCTTACTAATAAAAAGTATCATAAGATTTATGCTCATCAGTATGTTTTATGTAATGCTTATTGCTATGTTGTGCATAAATATGAAAGTTTCCCATTTTTTAACAATTCTCATGCTTCTATAAAAATGCTATAGTTAGATTTTGAGTTTATCAAGATACCTAAATATTCTATTCAAGATATTTATTCGGTTCAAGACACCTATCTTCTATTTCCTCTAATATTTCTTCTTAGTTTTACCTTTAAAAAATTGTCATTACCCTTCCTCTCTCTCTAAGTTTATTTTCAGATACAAAAATGCATATGAATGTAGACATTTAGTAGATTATTAAAGGGTCTTATATATAGTAGAAATCAGTTTGCATTTGCTTAAATTGATATTTCCTTACTGATTACTACTTTATTGAGAAGAATATGCTTATTTGCAAAGGAATATATGAACTGCATGACTTTGACACATTTAAAATAGGTTTACTTTATATTTTTAAAAAATGTTGTTAGTCAATAAAGTATATGATCAATCTTAATTTAGTACTACCCTTCATATAACCACAAAGATAATTTGCTAAGAACCTTTAATCCATAGTCAATATGTTTAATGCAAAAGATAATCTAACTCATTAAAACAAAATCACATACATCAAGTTCAAAGAAAAAATCTTGTTCTTTGGATGCAATTTCATAATCTGCCCTTAAAGCCAGGTCATGGACTTTCAGACATTCTCCAAGATCCATTCTCTAGACGGGGGAGAAAAGACACGTATTATTGAAAGAACAAATTCATTCATTAACAACCACAGTTCTCTTCAGAATACATATTAAGTCATACAGATGCTTCTTTATTTATGGACTTCAAATTACAAAATTTCATACACAAGTATAAAACCTGATGCCAGAAAAAACCACATTAATTCTGTCTACCAACAGATGGGGATAGTGATCACTTTTGTTCTTAAAAACAAATGGACAAGGAACAGCCTATCAGAATATAGAAAAAGCTCCTAGCTTGTATATCAAATATAATTCCATTGGCTCTTTAACACAGAAAACAAAGCTAATTTAAAATCAAACTCAAAGAATGTGTAAGTCAAATTGCTGAATTATAGTAAACATACTTTAAAAAACATTCTGATATTCAAATGAAGATGGAGTCCTCAAACAATAGACTGGTAACCTTAATAATGGATTCCAGACAAGACTCCAGGAAAACTAGTAAAGAGATTATTTTCTAAGACCCAGTACAGGCATACCTCGTTTTATTATGCTTTCTCTATTGCACTTTGTAAATACTGAATTTTTTATAAATTGAAGGTTTGTGGCAGTCCAGCCTTGAGCAACTCTATTGGTGCCAATTTTCCAAAAGCATTTGCTCATTTATGCCTATGTGGCACACTTTGGTAATTGCTATATTTCAAACTTTTTCATTTTATTGTATTTGTTATGGTGATCTGTATCAGTGATTAAGACTCACTGAAAGCTCAGATGATGTCCAGCATGTTTTAGCAATAAGGTATTTTTTAACTAAAGTATGTTATGTACATTGGTTTTATAGACACAATGCTATTGCACACTTAATAGACTACAGGATGGTGTAAATGTAAATTTTATATGCTCTGGGAAACAAAAAATTTCATCTGACTCACTTTATTGGGATCATCTTGAACTGACCTATAATATCTCCGAGGTATGCCTGCCTAACTTCACAAAGAACAAATATCTAACCCCACTTACAAACATGTATCAGGGAAATAAAATACTTTTACTGGACCTAGAATTGCTCTACTTGGAATTCTAATTGGATATTATTTACCATATCATAGGCTTTTCTATCTGACACAAAAATTCCTGAAAAATATGTCCATTTTTACATGTATCTGGGCTACCAATAGGTCTGTTATGAAATCCTTTTGGGGAAAAATTGAGGGGAAAAAAGTGGGCTAGATGCAAAGATAATTATAAATGCAATTAATGGGTGATCAAAGTAAAGGATTGATTTTCCAATTGGAGGTATGCTATCCCATCATTGGAACATCTCAATCTCTGGAAGGTTGGTGAAAAGGGAATATAGTAATTCAAAAAGGCAGAGTAAATATTCTTTTGCTTTTATTACAAAAACCATACATAAAGTACAGTAAAACATCTCAACAGTGAAGTCATTCCTTCAATTGCTGCATGAGTTCCCACTGTGCCAAGCACTATGCTAGGTGCTAGGGACATAGCACTAAGTTACACCAATACAGACTCTGACCTCATGAAGCTGACGTTCTAGAAGAGGGGGAACAAATAAATTAACCATAATTGTGTCTCTGAACAAAGTTAAGTGACCAAAAAACTAGAAATGCTCCCATTACTATGGGAGCCTAATTAGGATGAGGTGGTCAGAGAAGACCTTTCTGAAGAGGATACATTTAAACTGGACTTAAAAAGTAAGAGGAAGCAAACCAACATTAGGAAAAGCCAAGGAAAGAGTGTTTCAGCTTTTAACAGAAGATTTAGAAGGCATATTTTTTTATAAATATGCCAGTGAGAATATAAAAACAAGCAAAAAGAAGGAACAAAACAGCAGTAAACTCACAGACACTGAGAAGTGACTAGTGTTTACCAAGGGGGAGGGGATAAAGAGGCACAGTAATAATTCACTATCACAATATAAATCGGTCACAGAGATGGCAGTACAGCATGGAGAATACAGTCAATGATTCTGTAGCATCTGTGCTTATAAATAGGAACCTCACTAGAAGGGGTGAGGATTTAATATGTGTAAGTATTGAACCACTGTGTTATACATTTAAAACCAATATAAGATTATATATCAATGATACTTCAATAAAAAAATACACCACTGTTAATCAGAGAGAAGTTCCCAGGATCAGGGAACAGGACTAAAGTATCCACAGCACATAGAGCTGAACCTCAGCCTTGCATAGAGTATCTAGAAATGGCTTTAACAATTTAACTTTTTTTGCCAACCCCCTGGTTATTCATAGGTAAACAAAAGATAATGGTCATCGATTTTGTACACTATCCTAAGCTAAAAAGGATAGTGAATTCACTGGATAAAGATTCAAAATGATTGGCCAGATAAAATTTAAAAGAAATAAAGATGAAATCTTCTGGTTATACCTAAGATGACAAATTTACAAATAACTAGGTATAAGCAGAAAACTAGCGAAATAAAAAAACTTACTAGTCAAGAGTAGTGGTTACAGTATGGCATGAAATGAGATAAATTTATGTGATATAAAACTAACTTTTAGGGTACTGTATGAGTGTACTGAAGGCTGGTTTTAACAGCAAACCCCTTTTCTTCAAGAAACATTCTGTGTGCTAACCCATTTCAAAAGGAATATGAATAAATTAGTGTCTCAAAAACAAGCTATACAAAAAAAGCTAGAAAATAGATATAATTAACTGTAGAAGAATCAAGATGTGAACCTAGTCATTAATCAACACAGTAAAACTTCTCAGTATGAAGCAGGAATAGATTTTATTATGGTCCCAAAGGACTCGAGAGTCAGATTTTAACTCTCAATGTGAGTTCTTCCTAATAATCAAAGCTTTCCAAAGATGGAATAAACTTCTTCAGAAGATAGTGAATTTCCAGACAACTGAGAGATTCAAATGCAGTTTAGACAACCATTTTTCTAGGATTTTGAGGAAAGAATTCAACCATTAGGTAGCTTTATTCTTCCAATACTTAGTTTTTATGACTATCTAAAAATGTTTCTTTGTAGAACTGTATTATCTCAGTTCTTAATTCTGTAAAGGAACAAATGGTACACCATGAGCAGACAAGGCTTTCTTTGGAAATAAGAAACATTCATCACTACTGTAAAGTCCACACCATACTAATGGCTGTATACAGTTTCACTGTGTTACTGAGTGTGCTAAAATTCTGAGGCCCCATTGCTTATTTCCATCTGCTAGCCTGTAGGCAAACAAAGGAGCCTTATAGTGATAAAGAGCAGCAACTAAAACATTCTACAGACACGTGAAAATTTAAAGCTGCTGATTGAGCAACACTTATTAAGAAAAAGCTGTAGAAAAAAATTTGTTGATACTTAAAAAAAATGCAGGAAAATAAGACAGGAATGAAAGAAATTAATGGCAAAAGAACGTTGTTACTGTCTTTGCTACACGAGCCTGCCAGTTTCTTAAACAGTAATCACTCCAAGAATCCCCTTTAAATTTGTAGGTATTTCCACAGCTATAGTTGTTAATGAGACACTATGCTTATTTATTTCATCAACTGTTAAGATGTCACAGCTGGAAATGTCACTGATCTGGTTCAGTGGTTGCCAACCTGGACCTCAGGAGCTTTTAAATAATATTGATGGAAGGTTTTGAAAATAGACCCAAGCCCTACCATCCCAACACTGGCAACTAAAAGCCTCCCAGAAGTTCTTAATATAGTGTTGAGAGCCACTCACTGATCTGGTTTTATTCTCATTCTGTAGACAAAGGAACTGAAGCCCAGGAAGACTTATTCAGGACAAGTTATTGGAAAACCTAGTTAGACCGATTTCTAGTCTAACACCCCTTCCACTCTACTATGCTAGTTCCAATTATTTCAGTACTAATATTTTTAGATATCATCCCCCATAACATCTAGAAAAGCTCTGCACACAGCAGTCTGCCTTTCCTCTAGTTACTCCCTTACATTTATCCTCTGAGAAACTGTAGTTCCAATCTGTTCTCAACAAAAACGTAACATATAAATCTTGCTTCACTGTTTACCCTAAATATCTCTGTCACCCACCCATGTTACCCTTTGGCAGGAATTCTAAGATTTTCCCCTGTTCTAAATTTATATCACAACAATCAAAGGAAGAAAAATAACTACGTGCGTCAAGAACAAAAAGAACACCAAAAAGGACACAATTATAGCACTGTAGTAGGGTTAGAGTTTTGGTGAGAGGAGACTTGGGGGAATGTAGGCCTTGGGGGAGATTTACAGACTGGAGAAAGATTTAATTCACTATAGAATGTAAGCTTGCCAAAGACAAGTATTTTTTATTTCACCCATATGTACCTGTGCCACATAGGAATGCTTCATAATTAATTGCTGAATGAACCAAACTGGGAAAAAAGGGCAGAGATAAACATTTGGCATAAGGGACCCTGGGCTTAATAAGCAAGAGAGTAGTCAATCCATGCCCCAGGACAAAACAGATCTGACCTCTGGAGGGGAAAGGCAGAGACCGTACTCCAGTGATGAAATCAGAACTGATTCTGCTTTTGAGGACAGGCCCATAGTTGGTCATGGCATGGTTCTACATTGGTTCCTTCTGTGGTGGCTTTTTAATCAGATGATTAGGGCCACTGATGTTGCAATAATGCTTTGAACACTTAAGTGCAAAGATACTTGGTGCTGCTTCTCTTCTGAAATAAGTGAACTTCAAACTGAATAAAAAAAAGTTTGCTTATTTAACTTAAAATGACTATTTGTGATGAAAGCCACAGAAAGTTTTGAATTTTAAAACCTAACAAATAGTTTACTTCATAACTAAATTCTTCCAACAAGTTTACTCTTAGTGTTTTAAGACATCTGAATTCTTATATTATACATGGAGAAAAATGTTTGTTTTTAACTGGAAAAATTCAGCTCTACATTTTGTCTTCTCTACCCTAAATCTATTTCCTCCAGTCTTGACCAAATAACTATACCAGATACTGGTAACTTCTCTTGTAACCTCACAGCATTCTATTCTCTGTTTTACTGTTTACAAAGTCATTAC